AAGACTTTGTTCTATTTGAAGAAAATCTGTGGGAGTTTTGCCTTTGACAGAGTCACAATGTAAGGCCCCATTTTAGCAAGGTTCTTCATTTAATTTAAGCACAAACTTGTGTGTTTCCTGGAAAACTCTTTGCATATGTAATTATCTAATTATGCTTTTTTCCCCCCTGCTTCTTCTTTCTCCTGGGATGTATAAAGAGCTAGAAAAATACAAATGCAGTTTTAAATGCTTGCAGATCTTATTCTGATGAGCATGGAATTAGATGAAATTCTGTTGCCAATTTTTCAAACCTCTTCAGTCCTGAAGTTATCAGGACACAAATGTAACAAATTGGGGTTACGATAGGGTGATTCTGGTCATAGATTAGGATTCTGAAGTACCTGTATAGCTATATCATATGGTTTAAAAATCTACAGCAAAATTATCATAGATTATGATTCTGAAGTACCTGTATAGCTATGTCATATGGTTTAAAAATCTACAGCAAAATTACAGTTCTGTCCAACCCTTCTTTACTGAAATAAACATTTGCTTCATTAAATAGTGTTTTAAAGTAAGGGGTATGGCATATTTTCAGTACCAGAAACAGAAGGCATTTGGAAATTCCAAGTCAGATTGACAGAAGTCATGAAAACAGCTGCTAAACATTCTGTTTGTTTGTAGGGTTTGGGGGAATTTGGAGGGAGTCCTTTGGGTTGTGGGGTGGTCTTTTTTAGACACGTACTTTTGGGAGGCTTTGGGACCCCTTTTGTACCTATAGCTTTCATAGGACTCAAGTATTTAATTGACATCTTGAAGACAATGTTTTACTGTATAAGATGCATGAGAAAATTATTTCAGGTGGTAGCTGTTTGGGGGCAGGGAGGGTGTGGCATTTTGTGTGCGCAGGAGTGTCTGTTATATAGATACTGCAGTACACACTGTACGTAGTCTGTATGTCTAGTGTAGTCTATAATGACTCCTTCAGATTTTTTGCATTGTAAATTAATGCCTTCAAACACCAAAAAACTCGTATACTGTAATTGTACAACTGTTCTAGCAACCTAGAAATTCTGGCTGAGTCTTTTGATAATTACCCAGTTTGGTCATCACGTTATCTGTAACTATGAAACCCTGCGGAAAATCCTTAGCATTGGACAGATTCTTTTACTGTTTAATGTAGGTCTGGGATCAGAGACAGCTGCTCTGAGAGATGGTGGTGCAGCTTTGGGAAGCATTAGTAATGAAAGGGGCTGCATTACATCTGAGGTGAAACCTTGGCTGCAAGGCAGCCTTTTATATATGTGTGGCAACGTATTAAAAAAAATAGAAGATTTTCTCAGAAGGATGGTGTGTTGCAAGTTTTCAGAAAAAGAAGCTTAAAGAGATGAGGACACTGTTAAAAGATGTTTGGCATTTAATGTGCAGAGCACATGTTAATTGGAATTTCAGTGTTAAGAACTACATGTTAGTAACACCAACCACAGCTGAAAGCAATCTTCGCAGAGATTGTCATTAATATGGCTGAATAGCCTTTTTAAGTTTGCATTATTTTTATGATTTCTAGTGAAAGGAAAATACAACAGGAGAAAGTTTTGGAAGTCTGATTGAAATCTATTTTTATCCATCTGTCTACAGGATCCTGTTTTCTAATAAAACATCATTATTCAGCACTTGTTCATGAATATTGTAGGAACTCCCTAAGCTTTTTTTTTTTTTTTTTTTTTTAATGTTTCTGGCTCATTTTTTCTGTTTTCTTTTTCTGTTTCAGATTGATTTAAGGTATTTTTTCCTTTTGACAGTTTTGTCAAGGCAGCAGAACCAAATAGAGAGGCCTTTTTACCAAATCGGAGATAGTCCTCTGGCCGACTCTGGTCTCAATTTGACATGGTTAATCTTATTTTTAATGGATTCTCAAGCTGTTTGTGCTGCCAATACCATCCTTGTCACCTCCTCTGTATTTGCCTGCTCACATTTGCATGTCCCTCTGGGAATCTGTCAGCCCCTTAACTGCAGATGTGTCCTTTCCAAAACTCTGGCTTTCCTGACCTGGTTTCAGGGGAAGTCTTCAGGCAGCTCCAGTCTTTGAGCTGAAGCTCTAGCTAGACTTAGTGGAAGGGAAAAAGCAAGTTGACACCTAGACCTTCTGAGTAAAAAAGGCAAAGGGATGTCTGATGTCAGAAAACATCAAAGAGGGCTTAAATGATTGCGCTACAAAGGGAACTTTGATGAGTTAGGTGGGTATTGTCAAACCGATGTTTACTGAGCATCCCATGGACATGTTGTCTGACATAATAGAGCTTCAGTAGCTCAGGTGTTTAAAAAAATCACTATACTCAATATTCAATAGATATAATTCTTCTGAATGTCTCTCAAAGAGCTCAATATGTTCATAGGAAGGCCTCAGTTTAGCGAAGAGCTTATGGTGAATACCAATCTGTCTGCTTGTGAGCCAGTATATCAAATACAGCTCCAAACAGCAGCAGACTTTCAGTTTTGTTCCTCAAAATGAAATTACCAAAATCAAAATAATCCAATTTACATAAAATAAGCTACATTTGGTCTTGCTGCTTGGATTTGTGTTTGGTTTTTTTTCCCATGTGCTTTCCTATCGTCTCTGCAGGAAAACATACTGACATTTTAAAAAGGTCTTTGAATCATAGAGCTTCGATAGTCTTCAAGATTTTAATAAAGGGTATTTTGCTCGCCTCAGTAGTGTTTGCAGCAATGTGTGGTAATAAGGGAGCAGAGGTGTTCGTGAGAAATATGAAGAGCTGACAGGGTGCTTTGGTATCTAACTTTGAGAACTTCAGATCTGAGGACCAAAGAGGTGACCTAGATAATCAGCTAACAGCTAAGTTGTCACTGACAAGTGGAAATGCAGGTGTCCGTGGCAGGGGTCAAAAAGGACGTGAATACTGTTAGTTTCAAAATTATTCTCTTTCACTGAACTTATTATAAAAATGCGTATTTTTTGTCTGTGGAGCACACTGCAGGTGACACTGAGATAGCCCAGGATACGCAGTGTATGTCTTTTATTAGTAGATGCAAAGTGGTGGCAGATAATGTTTTGCTCTAAGTGACTGTATGCTTCAAACTTTGTTGCACAACTCTTAAACAGAATAGAAGAAGTCAACATTTTATTAATTCAAATGGGAGAGAGTAAGAAGCAGATGAGTTCTCATCTCCCAGAGAAATTAAACAAAGCTTCGTAACATTCAGCCTGTTTAAAAAAAAAAAAAAAAAAAAAAAAAAAAAAAAAGAGAGAGAAATACACCACACCATCACCAGCTTAGCATCATTAGGGCATTTCCCTAGCTTTTCTCCTAGATGGAAATTAACACAATTTATTTGTCTTTCTCCTTTAAATTCCCATCTCTGGAATGCAACTACTATTTTTATATCCCTCTTCTGTTTTTCTCTTATGTGAAAGCCTGCAATTAACTTGTTTACCCGTGAAATCTTTGTTTCAGAGCACAATTATATTCCTTCTTTACAGAGCCCTCAAATAGGATTATTCTGTCTGTCTTCCTGCAACACTTGCCATCATACCCAGTATTTAATGAGACTCAGCATTTTATGCTAGATAGCCTTGTAGTTTATTTCCAGCTAATACGCCATACTTCAAAATGCTCTCCTAAACCTTCTGAAGTGTTTGGTGAACATATGCATAACTCCGTTGCCTACAAGCAGATACGATCGCATTCAGGAGGTGCCCTTGCAACTGAGGTCTTGTTGGTATAGGATTTCCTGTGAGATCCATGACAAATGGCCCTTTTCACCATCTTAAGCTTATCATCCTGTTACACTAAATTTAATTTGTATCAGTTGGTGGAGATTTAGATTCTTATTCAAAAGTTATTAGCTATTAAAAGTACTATAAGCACTAAACGTGTAGACAGTGGGGGGAAAAAGGTTCATGTGAGAGTGAAATGTAGACTGCAGTATATATTTGTGTCAGTTTTAAAATTATTTGATCTCTACGCAGAATCTATCATCCCATAGTGATACTATTTGCTGGCCATTTTTTAGTATTTGTACCAGATTAAAAAATTTAGTATTTAGGCAACCTGAGCTTTCAGATGATACTGGCCCTGTTCAAAGGATTGAATTCAGTCATGCAGGGCTTCTTTTCATCTGTCTTCGCCTTTATAAACTTCATCTTGAGCCAAGGACCAAGCAGCTTTCTTAGTTTGAAAAACACTGTATGCATTTCTTGGAAATGCTGCAGCCTTATAGGAACTAGTAGAGTTACAAAGTAGCCTGAAATTTTTTTCTCACATGCTTTTGCTGCCAATGAAGCTGAGGTTCAGGCTATTATTAGCTGATAGAAATCTTTGAATATACTTTTTCTTCACAGAAATGTTATGTAGTCATTTCTAAATTGGGCATAAACCTGAAAAAAAGACTAAAAACTAAATCTAAATGGAATATATCTGACAACTTAAGTAATACATGGTCTTTTAGACATGAAGAAGAAAGAGGAGGGCATCACCATTAAACATTATTCATTTCATAGTGTTTAAGACAGTTAATTCCAATCTTCTCAATTCCTTAGGCAAAACTAAGTTCTCATTTTGAGCATTGTCTAAAATTTATTGAAATTATAGAGAATCTCTCTGCTGAGGCCAGTAGCCTTTGGACAGATTGTTTTATTTTGACAAGCAAAACAGTTTATGGATGCTTAACTTCTGAGGCAAAGTAACAGAGAATAGGAGTGTGCAGCCATCAACTGAACAGCTTTGAGTCTGTACTGTACCAATGCAGAGCTCAAAGGCTTTGAAGGATTTATAGTAGTGATTTTCTTTTTGTTCTATTTATTCTATTCTAGTTATTCTTATTTAATAACTTTAAATATTTTAATGAATAATTAACTGGAACAGAACTTAGTGTCATCATACTCAAAATGTTCAAAATAACACAAGTTTTCAAAATTGAAGTATTTGCAAAAATATTAACCTCTTTTAGTATAAAGTATTTGCAAAAGATTTTTAACTAGTTTGTAATATATTTACTTGCAGGATCCAAAGCTGCGCGAACTGTTGGATGCTGGGAACCTAGGAGCTCGACTGGAAAATCGAATGATAACTGTTGTCTATGGCCCAGACCTGGTCAATATATCGTACTTGAACTTGGTGGCATTCCAAGAAGATATAGCAAAGGTAATATACATTCATCTGTGTCATATAAAATTAATGTTTTTAAAGTACTGTTTTGTGATATGGATAAATGAGATAAAAATGCAGATTGCTAAGTAATAAACCTCAATTCTGTTATAGAGCTGTACCACTCAGTACCCAAGAAGAAATGTGCAATCATTCTTTTTCAGGGATTTTATTCAGCAAAGTTTCTGCCTCAGATATGCATGCTCATCTGCAGAACATTGCTTGTAAATCGCAAATAAGCAGTGTGAAAATAGTAGTATTTTACTCAGCTGTAAGTAAATGGTTCTCCAAACACATCTCAGTATCTTTCAATAGTTATCACCCTTTTATGCTTGTTCTAAGTGTGTGCGAATTGTGGATTATCTTTGAGAACACAGTTTGTGAATGGCTGACTTTTTAAGGTTGGCCCATACCAGAGTAGTGGGAATCTACAGCTCTACCTTGTATACTCAAGTATGTCAGCAAACACCTTGTTTAACTTACACACATGAACATTTCTGTTCATGTTCAAAGGTCAATTTTAAGCATCGCATTTTGCCTACTGATAGCTCTTGAGAAGAATTGTGTTGTCAACATCATTACCTTGGCAAGTATATTTTCTATGCAGGTACACTATTCCTTAATTTCTGTCCAACACACCATGTATAACACAGCCGTGTGTGTCAAGCAAGTTACAATTGATATTAGTACATGTTTTGGTTTTGTTTTTTTTTCCTTCTTCCAAATTCTGTACAGCTCAATTGTGTTTAATGAAGTGGGGGCTCTTTGCTTTATCTATTCCAAACTGACATTCAAAAGCTACTCCTCTTTCCACTTCCATTCATGTTGATAGATGGATGACAGCCTCCAGATAACTATGCACAGAACACACTTTCATGTGGTTTGCATCCTCGAGTCCACTAGATTGCACTAAAAAGTCTGCAGACTGCTGTTACATAACAACAGTAAGGAGTTACTTTGTTGCCTTTCAGGCAACAAGTATGGTCAGACCAGGTTAGAAAATGTCGTAGGATGAGAGCCCTAAGGTAGGAGGATATTTTTTTTCTTGCCAAGTTTCTGTCTCTGCTAATCTTCATTAACCAATTGGCCACCTTGTCTAAAACACAATTTCCACTGTTTCTATGATATGAAAGAATAGAAACAGAATGAGTTTGTGGTAACCTGTGGACTGCTGAGTGGGAAGTGTTGTCCTCAGACTTGAAAACGCACAGCCATACTCTACAGAGGTGGTTAAGAAATCTGAACCACTGCAAAAGTGAAAGTGATGGAAACAACTCTTCAGGAAAAAAAACAAAACAAAACAAACAAACAAACAAAAAAAACTAAGCATATGGTGGAAAATGAAAAGGTATGTGAAAGCTTTACCAGCAAAAATTGTTAGCCCTTACCAAGGAAGAGGGAAAATTACCCAAATCAGAAGTATATGTGCTTCTTTTTCCACTTTTCAGTCTAGCTCGCAATCAGTGAACCATAATCTATTTGCTGCAACAGTGCAGGAATTGGTGTTTTAGTGCTATTTTCTGTTTGATAATGGAACCGTAAAATACAGTAGATAAAATAATGTTTTAGAAAAGCTTGGCTGCTCTAAATCCTGAGTAACTCTTAGGATCTGAGTAACTAAGAATCTAAGTATTGTTATTTGTGTGTTAGACCAAATAAATTAATATTTTGTCAGTCAGTCACTGTGCCCGGGGATGCCATTTTCAAAGCATTGCAGATTAGCTGTGCTTGCTTTGAGATCAAATTAAATATCCTGATTGTTTCAATGAAAACTGAGCTTTGATCACTGTTGAATGCATGTAAAAATTCTTCCTTTTTAACACATTTTCCAACTTTATGTGAGCCAGACCACAGAATCTGGTCCTGGTCTCCAGGACTCATGTAGTGACTCAGAGAGTCATTATCAATAAGCCATGAGGCACAAATCATCTCTTCAGGGAGCTCTGAGAAGGTGTGTAAATACAAGTTTTCAATGTCACATATGCAAATTTTGGCCCTTCCTCTCTTTGATATTCCAGGGAAAGCAAGTGCCAATGAAAAACTCCCCCACCTTTCTGTTCTCAGGGCATGAATGTTTTTTGGATTAACCATTCATTTGTGATACTTTATTTTTCAAGTTGTGTGACAAGTGTTGATCAGTCCTCCCTTGGAGGAGAAAGGCAAAGTAAACTGTAATGGTCTTAGTGAGGCAGTTAAAAATGTTAAATTTTGGAGCTTTCTTCCTTTGCAGACGGATTTCTATTCTGCTACAAACTCTGTTCGTCACATCCACTGGCCAAGATGTGGGAAGATCATGAAAATGTGGGCCTTGGGCTGTTCAGCTTGCTTTAAGTGAACTAAATACAGAGCTAGAAATGATGCACTGTTTCCTCTAGCAGAAAGTAACTAATGTTTAAAGTACATTAGTGATGAGCTGAAGGGCACTGAGAAACTGTTTTTTTTCAAAGAATGCAGCTTGAAATTCATCAGGTAATGGTCTAATAGGCAGACTGCTAGACACCTCTTGATGATGAAGAGAAGTAGCACTGATACAGCGCTTGCTTATTTTCACATGGGTATGCCTGTCTTGGGGTAGTATTTGTGGGCATCCACAAACATAGCACTGCAGAAGCCAGGATGAAGAAAATAGTTTATGCTCAAACCCTATTCTGAGCAGATACTCTTTTTCTCAGTTCCCAGTGTGAAGAAGTACAACCTGTGAACATCTGTGTCTTCTCTACAGTATTTCCTTCTCTTCCCAAATCTAGTAACTTCGGAAGTGAACATCCTATCTTTCCTGTCTCTTTCCTCTCACTCTCTTTTTTGCCTCTCATGCCAACTCTGTTCTCACCACACTACTCCATCCTGGCCATACAGACTCCTGTCCAGGGCCCAAGGAATTCTATTCCTTCTCAGTTTGATTAGCTTTGGATCAGATCCATCACTAAGAGCTAAATAATTCCTCCATAAGTAAAATGACAATTCATAAGTTGTGCTATATTGTGCTGTCCAGCATACATCTTTATTTTTCCAGCTTCTTAGGCATGTTTAAGAGCTTGATCATATAATAAAATAGTAAGATAAACCAAATAAATTCATGTCCATTTGAGATATTTTTAAAAATAAAATTCATAAGGATGCCCAAAGTGTAGAATTTCAGCAGCTTGCTTTGTTAACCTCCCAGCAAAAACAAATGTGTGAGAAACATTTTCTTCACACGTAGTCGGTTCTGATTTGAAGGAATTGTTTTCAAGGATGTATGCTGTCTTTTCATATGAAAAAAGTCTCATCTCTTTTGTTGAGATAAATGTCTTATGGTATGTATCCTGAAGCATGTAATAGGGGAGAGAAATTACTTCACTGAGCAACAGATTTCCAAATGAACTACTGCTTATACGCTACCTGCCAAAGCACAAAGCAGCTAAATAATTTGTTAGTAAAGTTCACAGGAATGATATAAATATGAATTAGTGTAACATGACGTAGCCAAGAGGAGATTGAGTTCAGGGAGCTCTTATCGTGATGGATGTGACTTGCTTGGAGTTGAATGTTGGAAGGCAGGGTTCTTCCGCTACCGAATGGGATCAGAGGCTTCCAGTCTGCAAACAATTTGTTGGCACTAGTACAGTCCTATTTCAAAGTACCCAGATTTATATTTTCCTTTTGTATTGCATCTGTACAGGAGTCTGCAGCTATTGTGGTGATTCAGAGGCTGTTATAACCTTTCCGTAGTAAGCTGTTTTCTTTCTACACATAAGAGCTTTCTACCCCGCTGAGTGCTCTCGGTGAGTGCTGCCTTCTGGAATCCCTGCTGCTGGTAAAGACAGCTGCAGAGTGCATCACGCATGGAGTTAGGGTATGGGCTTTACTCTGTACCATGCAGCAAATCCAAGGAAACAGAGTCGTTTGGTAGCTAAAGAAGCAAGACGCATCTTGACTCACAGCTTGATGCAAGCCCATCAAAGTCAGTCCAAAGCATCTCCTTTATTTCTTCAGGTCTGTGCTGAGGGCTGTTCTTTTGCCTTCTGCTGAGGACTCAGAGCAGCTACTGGAAAGATGATACAATCTTTGGCATATTTTCTGATCTTGGTTTTTTGGCTGTGGCTCTGTGGCAGCTGGAATGAAGACCCTAAAATGGGAGAGGCAATGAGCAAGTATTGCTTGTGACTTGTTGACTTGGCACATGTATCGTTAGAAATGGTTCAGCCATTTCTAAGGGCAGGTAGCTCTTAGAATATTTGGCAAGAACAATGTGATCGCTTGAAGAGCCAGGAAAAGCTAGCAAAGGAACATGGCAAGACTCTGTATATAAATACTGCTTGTGACAGGCACATAATAACTGAGTTCCCCTTATATTCCTGTTAACAAATGCTTAGATAAAGAGAAGGAAGAGCTGGGGTGTGGGATACTCCTAAAGTGCCCAACTTCTGTTTTCTGCAAAATACTTCAGTTTTAAGCCCAGCAGAATTGGTGAGATCAAAACAATGTCTATCAAGATATGTTAAAAGCCAACATATTTTCGATTTCTAAATAATATTTTATGTTGCCATTAATCTTTGCAGCTGTTAGTGTCACAGGGAGAAGTTTTAACTGCTATTATTAGTGCCTTAAGAAAGCAGTGTTTACAAGATGAGCCTATTTTGAGCCTGGAAAAATGAGCTGCCAAGAAGAAAAAAGGATGCTGCACTTAATACGCTTTCTGTTCCAAGAGTCACAGCAAAGCAGTGGTGTTGCTAATGAACCCAACTCTTTCTCTTGTTCTCACACCCCTGTTTTTTTTTCAAATTGGACCTAAGAATGAAAAGCAAGTAAAGAGAAAAAAAAAAAAAAAGTGGTCACAAGAGGTGGAGGGGAGGCAAACTGTGTCCAGAAGGTCAGTGTCTGAGGGAGGAAGGTTTCTATGCCAGAAATACCCGTCACAGGGAGATGTGTTGTCTCAGCTGCTTAGGGGTGAGGTTGTGGATGGGGTGGACTTAAGGATCTGGTAGCTGAAGGTTATCAAAGGCCCTTATGTCCAGCAGGCGTATAGGTATCTCTACCTCATTGGGAGCAACTGTGTGAGACTAGTTTCAGGAACAAGATCTGATAATTTTAGGAACAAACCTTAGCACACTAAGAAACTCGAAAAAAAATTATAGCTTCTGAACCTCATAAACTGATCACCTAGTCACCTGGAAACTTGAGGCTTTTTAGGTGAAACGAGCTTGTAAGCTCCAAAGTGATGTAGCAATATTCTTTCACTGGAAGTCTTTTACTGGAAGATACTTTATAAGTTTTTTGTAAGAATGAAATCACCTTTTTTTTTTTTTTTTTTTCCCTCAAGAAAAAGAAGAACCAGGGAGAAGGAATACCTTCCAAGGGCTATGCATCCAGGAGGGGGTGTGGTGATGGGAATTTCAGATCTGGACTAATACGAAAACAAACTCAATTTTAGTTTCAAAGAAAACTCAGAAAGCTTCATCAAGTAAAAAAACCCAAAACACATTGTTTTCAAAGGCGTTGTTTATTTTCGTTCTTTTCTTCTAAGTGGATGAAACAAAGCTAATCCAGAACCGCAGTTGTGATAAAAACAGACTGCAATTAAAGACTCTGTAAGAACCAGGTTAGCAAGGAAAAAGGCACTGAAGTTGTCAGTGAAAAGCTGCAGGAGAGACCTGCAAGGGAGAAGAGCATCAGGAGCAGTGAGAGTCTAAGCCTCAGGTTATGATCGTGGATCAGCCTTGCTGGGAACCCAGGAAAGGGTTACGAGAATGGTGGTATAGAGCCTCCTTTTTTAATCCTTAGTGTGTCAACCAGAACAGTGGCCAACACATAGGAAAGTGTATTTTTCTGGAGCATTTATTGCAGATCTTCCAGAAACATGAGTATGTTTTGCATCAGACATTTATCCATGTGATTGGATTTTTTCAATTCAGTGGATAAAGATATCTTTAAAAAAATATTTGTAACAGTCTTCATTTTTTGCAGCGTGAGAAAATCAGGTCGCACAGACAAGGATGGAAACTGTAATTGGAAAAATCGAGTTCAGACTTTAATTAGGTTCTTTTTACTAACGATATAATTTTCAAAAATATTTTGTGTTGTGTAAGTAAACATCTAAACAAAGCCTCATTTAATCCCATTTTCTCTCTTTAGGAATGGTCAGATGAAGTGTTCAGTTTGGCAACAAATTTGTTGGCACAGAACATGTCAAGGGACGCATTTCTGGAAAAAGCGTAAGTGGCCGTAGTATTTAATATTGTGGGTGTTTCTCTTTTCTCTGCGTCATTTTCCTCTTTTCCTGTTAGTCACATTGTCATCTATTGTTTCTGCTTTGATGAGTTGTCACTTTTGTAAACACAGGCTGTCCTTTCTCATGGTTTTAAAAAGCCTGTTACCTAAACATCATTTAAACACAAATCTTGTTAGGGTTCCTCTCACAAACTACTAAGTCATGTCAGAAAAGAATAAAGCAGAATTAAATGTCATCTTCCCATTGTATACCAAAGTAGTAGCTTCATCTGCAGTCTGAAGCTCTCCATTTAAAATGAGGGAGTATTCTGGACTGACTTGCTTCTGCTTTATTTTCCTCTTTTTCTGTTACAAGAAATGCAAAAAGTCCGTTTTCCTCAGCCTAATCTCTCTGGTTTTCATGTGATTCAGAGGGAAGCTGTGAATCGATTCATCTAGAGTGCTTTGCATAGTGCGCAGATTCTGAGTTGTTTTCAACAAAGTACAGAAGCTGTTCGTGAGAACGTTTGGAGTGTAAAAAACACACTTCCGAAAGGCAAGAGAACTAAACCCGAGATTAGTGATTCTCAACTGGATGACAAGTGCACTTGCTGAGGGAGCTTTGCGTAAGTGATAGCATTGAGAACAGCATGGCAAAGCCTACCGGGTGATGATGGTAATGAGCTGGAGTACTTGCTGGCCTTTGGGGGTTCTGAAAGAGAAGATAGACCCTCCTTAGCCTATTAGTTGGCTGTTAAATTCAGCTTTGTGTCTCCCCAAAACACCTTTTAATTTCTGCTCACAGACTGAGGCTGAGCCCAGCCAAGTACCAAGCTGGGGCTTAGGTTCCTAAAACTTTCCTCCATCCAAGAAGCAAGTTTAACCCACCCTTTTCTTGGACTTTCTAAGACCAGGCATGCCTAATTTCATTAGATCCACCCATATTTAGTCAGAAGGTTCCCAACAGCGTAACTTTAATATCATGTATAAGTGCCTGTTCTGGGAGGAGGGGTGTGTGTGTTTCCTTCTCATAGTGTTTGTTGTGGTGCAGCTGAAGTCAACAGAAATTCTTGAAGAAACTTTGAAGGCTGCAGGAACTATAGCTTGGAGTCTGATAATGCTGTGTTGGGACAGCAATGATATATTAAGTAAACAAAGTCCCAAGTGGATGGAAACATTTAACATTTCCTCTTGGCTCCGCATGCTGACAGTGGAGAAAGAACTGTGCTAACCTGAGCAGACCCAGGTGTGAGAGCAAGGGCAGAGATTACTTCCTTCAGCTCCACAGGCTGTAGATGAGTTACGAGAGTGATGTGATATTATTATTTCCATGCCTCCTACTACTCACATCCCCAGGTGGTCAGTGGACTTTGCTGACAGGTCTGTAATGGGGAGCATTGTGACTGTACCTAATGGGTGTTTTGGTGTCAGATTCAAAGGAGGAACATGTTATCATACAGTATAATAGAGCGGTCTTATTTTGAGCCATTTTTCTGTGGTTTTTCAAGCAATATTAATTAAAGATGAAATCACTGGACATATTGTGTACTTTCAGTAGCAGGCAAGCATGGCATTCACTTTTTCCACTAATTAATAAATTATTTGGGAACTGTATGGTTTCCAGGGTCCTCTGCACAGATGACAAATCAGAGTCACTTAAGAAATTTTTTACTTTGAAGATTAAATATTTCCCCATTATAATTATGGTATTAAGCAAAGGGTTGGTTGCAGTCCTATCAGAACCCTTTTGTTGAAATAGTAAAGCAAATTGCATTAGAGCAGAATTAAGGTTTTTTTTTCTTGGTGGCCTTCAGTCCCTTGCAGCATTGGAAGTGCAGTAATCTTGAGCAGCTCTCCTGTGTATTGGTCAGATGAGAAAAATAGGGTTAATTTGGGAGGAGGGGTGGCTAATAAAAACTGCCATTTTGGTTATAAAGTGCTCATTCTCCTGTTTTAACCATGCAGTGTATTTTTGTGTTGGGGTGCAAAAATGGATGGTGGTTGTATCAGCACTGAAATACTGACCAGTGCAGTAGTGAGCAGGGGGTGAGTGACTACTGTGGAAACCTTGGGTCAGCATTAGGTCCAAAGTTTGTCATTCTTGGGGTCAGCACTGCACTGCTGAAATGAGTCAGTGCAGCTGTTACTGATAGGGACTATTTCCTAGCAAGCTTTTTAACAGGAATAACATGCTTGATTTTCTTAGATGGATGGATAATGGCTGCAGGGGAAAAAATAGTCTCATGTGTAACAAAGAATTAGGGATTAAAAAGGTGGCAAGTACTGGTGGGAGCTGACTGTTCTTCAGACACGCATTTTTAGTTTGCTTTAACTGAAGTTCAGAATCCTTCCCCCTCATTTTCTTTTATTTCTAGTTTTCTTGGCTGTAGAGGAAAACATTAGATGAGACCAGAATGTACTCCAAAGTTTTGAAAAATGGAAAGCAAAATAAAGGAAACTTCTTTTACTAACCTCTGTGATTTTTTTTTTCTTTTTAATCTAGCTTGGTGCTGGGAGTTGGGTTAGATGGGATAGTATTTTTCCTTGGTGAAACAGTAGCACAAGAGATTTCAGTTTCTAGAAGATGCCTATGAGGAGACAAGGATTTGTGAAAATGTTCCTATCCTAGTTAGGGACGTTAGCACGTACTTTGTTTTTGAACCAGCTGCTAATAGCATTTTTGGTTGGGAAGAAAAGGAAAATTTATTAGAACCATGCAGTTTCTTTTTCTTTTGGTAGGCCAGTGGGTAAAGTGAAAAAAAGTATTTTAATTTAAAAAAAAAATCCTCTGAAATTCTTAAGTGTTGCCTCATTTTCCACTAGATCATATTACTGCAAAACTAGGTATAGTTTTAATTATATTCAAGTGGAAGAGATGAAGCACTGAAAAAGTTGTGCTCTTTGCTGACTGCTGCTGGTAGACATTATACTAGTTACCAGTAGTCCTCGCATACTGGGAGGATCATCAGATAGCAGCTGTAGGCCCAACTGCTTCTCATTAAAGCCCCTGGATGACTCCTGTTCCAGTAGGCTTTGAATCTGTATGTTGAAAGATTTGGACAAAGAAAGATACATCCTCATCCTGCTGCCTTAATGAGCATGCAGGAGAAGTCACATGTTCTGACATACTGAGATGCTCTAAATACTCCGTTCAAAAGCTGTATAATTACCTAACTGTGAGGTGGTTTCAGCATGTAATTTTTATAGTATTTTATACTGGAAATGTCTTACGCTTGCCCAAGGCTGCTAAATATACTGACAATCTTGCTGGTACAGAGACATTTCTGTTGCCAGCCACTTGACTTCCTTCCAGCTGAGGAGTGACAACATTTAGGGTCACGGATGTGTGATGGGAACAGCTTAGAGAGGCTGGGATGTTGGTACGCAACATCCAGGGATGGTTTCAGCCTCTGGAAGAGGAGGAGTACAGCTGCCTTTCCAGTCAAATTGTGTAGCCTGTGTGTCACAATTCAGTCTGCTGATAGACCAGGAGGGAGCTTGGGGGGATGATAACTTTGTTCATTAATGGTATTTGCAATGTCCTGTTGCAAGTCAGACAGTATTTGACACTACGGGTGCATTACTGTTGATGGAAAAGGTATTTACTGATTAATGGTATCCCAAAGGGTTTTTATATTGGGCAAAAGAGATGAGTGGAACTTGCCACATGATCAGAACAATGGCATTGAGTTATAAAGTTGGTAGAGAGGTACTTGAAAATACTGTCAAAATAAAACAGGATGCTTTTTTCTCCACAGTTACACAAAACTTAAACTGCAGGTGACTCCAGAAGGGCGCATTCCTCTGAAGAAGTAAGTTCGGTTCCCTTTCCTTACCACATACTCTCCTCTGACTTTTTAGTGTGAATATGTGTTTGAAATGTCAGAGACATTTTGTGAGGATAAATATACTCAAATTGAGTATTGCTGGGGTCATATGAAGAGAGCAGTGGTGACTTTTTTTCAAATAACTATCTGCTGTAGTAGGGGTAGAGTTAAACTCATTGTAAGCACCATTAAACTTGCTTGTGTTACTGAGCAGCAAGCCAAATGGAAATTAATAGGTAAAGATGCGATAGACTGGGAAGCGATATTCAGTCTTTAAGCCACATGGTCCATCAAGGAACGTCTTTAAACCAATTTCCTCTGGTTTGTCTTCATTTTGCAGCATATACCGCTTGTTTTCTGCTGACAGAAAACGGGTAGAGACCGCGTTAGAAGCTTGTAACCTTCCATCTTCCAGGGTAAGCATCTCAATTTATTCCTGGGCCTTAGAAACTGTTGCTTGTTCTCGGCATTGTTTACTCTCTGTTGAGTTGAGGACAGTTCGTTCAAGGCTGGTCATGCTGTGCTGGCTTTGCTTCTGGATAGGTCCTCAGCAGCAGGTCTGTCTTTCCCACACAGAAGTTCCTGATACCCATCCGCAAATCTGGGTACCTTTGATTTGAAATTGTGTAGGGACCAGAAATGCCTGGAAAAACTGTGAAAGGATTAAAGGAAAGGGCATGGGGTTGTGTGACCTGTTCTGGAGAAATCCTGCGAGAGTGTTTCATGATTGTTGCACAGTTTTCAAGACATGATTTCAGAGCAGTGCTAGCTTGAGGTGTAGCTAATGGTGTAATCTGTTTCCTTCCCACAACAACAAAAAATATTCTGTGGCTTGCGTTAAGTGACAATTTAAACTCACTGTAATTTATCTAAAAGGTGCAAGGGGTAAATGTTGAAATGCTTAGTGTCAAAGCTGTTAATGCTGCGGGGATGCAGCCATTCTATGCTGCTAATCCAGGAGCTCTGCTCAACCTGCAGAATTTGCAGGATGGTACCTCACCCTGAAGAAGTCTTTTTTCAAGAGCAATGAGCTCAAGCAGGTGATTCTAGCTAACACTGGAGTGAAGATGTCCTTAGTCCTTCCTCCCAGGTGAAGCTTCTCCTCCAGGAAGCTTCTTGCTGGATAATTCCCTATATTTGGAGGTCCAAGAAGTGGGTCAGAACTAGTCTACAGTAGAGGAGAGCCTGCATCTCCTAATCCCTCACTCATGTAGAAAACTGTCCTGTGATGTTCACTCAACCTTTGCTTCCTCAATGGTTTCTTAATAAAGCCAATTCCAACAGCTCCAGAAGAGCAATGGGGCAAAGCCTTCACAAGCTAAACTATCTCTTAACAATGAGACTTTCTTTTGTAGGTTTGGGAGCTTTGTTCCCCAAAATTCCAAGGAATGCCTGTAAAGTAGATACAAAAGTTTATAACAACCTTAGCTGAAGTAAGGTTGTGAGGTTAGAAACATGGAAATAATTATTTTAAAGATGGGTTTCAGTTAATTGTTAGCAAACAAGATGTTAAAAAAAATCTCTGAAGCTTTGCTTTTTAAATCAGTTGATTTATTACTTATGTTTCCTACATATCTCTGGAAAAAGAAAATCTAAACATCACTGGAGTCCTTGAAAGAAACTGCAACCTTTTTCTGCTATTTATTTAAGAGAGTCTATTTTACATACACACTGCTGGATACTTGTTGCTGGGATACCGTCTTGAAAATTATCCACAGTATAAAGTAGGTCCTTTCTTTGGTTGGGACAAAAGAAAAATATGCTTCATGCAACAAAGAAAACTGTGTTGATCATCCTGGAAAAAAATATTTTATAAGCTAAGTGCTTAAGAAGCATGAAACTCTGAATCTTGTACAGGTAATGGAGTAGAAGAAAACCAGTTCAACTACAGCTCTTTTCCTTTGTGTTCCTGTTTATTTGAACAAGTAAAATTCTTAACTTCAACGTCCATCTCTTCTGCCCCATTGTACTACAGGACAAATGGTGTTCCTATAAAGCCTTGAAGAGCACTGGACTCCCACCAGCATGCAAGACATGAATATCGGGGAATCTTCCCCAGTAAAACCACACGAAATTATTCAGAGAATTCATTAAAGTCTCTCATGGACAGTAACAGACAAGCCTGTTTGTTTGTTTGTTTGTTTGTTTTTATTCATTCCTCATGAAGATCCCTCCAAGAGTCTTCTCTCCAGGTTTCACAGAAAAAAAATACTTCTCCTTCCTTAGGAAGATACAGGGCTCACTGGTCATGAGTTTAACGTTATGTTTTGCTGCACCTCTCAGAACCTGTGGATGACCCTAAAGTAGAAAATGTCACAGTCCTGGGTAAGAGGATCCCACATCAGCATTTACCACTCTCTTCTGGATTCATAGCTTCAAGGTTGGGACAGTCCCTCATCTATCTTATGCGGTGACCTGAGCATAGGGCCGCCTGAGCTACACTGTCAGGGTATAGTATCACTGCATGGACTTGTCTGTGACAGTACAAACTTCAGCATCCACTAGCCCCCCACTCTTTAGTAAATTCCCTTTGTGTGTGCGTGCTGAGAGACCTCATAGGAGAACATATAGGCACTGCACTTAGTGTGAGAGGAGGAGGATTTCTCAATGCCTGGATAATAGACTTCATCCTGCTGTAGAAGAATAGCACCAGAGAGGCTACCCAGAAGTGCCGAACATAAAATGGAAGGGGTTGATTCTCTGCAACGCTGAGCACTCCAGCCCTGATTCGGCTGAGCAGTTGAGCATGACTGTGGTGGGATGACCCATGGACTTCAAGTCAAGCACGTTTTCAAAGTGTGAATTTATTTATTTCTGAGTCGGACCTGGCACATGTAGAGTCTTGCAGGACAAAGCCCTGTGTGATCTGATTTTTGGCAGCGTTTATCATCTAGCAGATCTGAAAACAGAGGAGTGTTTAAATATATGTTTAAGTGGAGTTTTAAAATATGCCAATGAGTTTTTGAGTTTGACATTTGATTCCCCTGTGATTTATTTATTTATTTTTCAAATCTTGGCTGCCTTTGAGGAAGAGGGGGTTGCTTTTTGTTGTTGTTGACGATATTTGTTTAGTTTGGTTTTAGTCAAAGGTGCCTTAAATAAAATTTGAAGAGCTTTATTTTAGTCACCTCTTTGGCTGTGAAAACTGTTTTCTGCCTTCCAGTTAATGTAGAGGTTAACAATGAAGCACCAGTGAACTTGACTGTTAACTTAAAACAAAACAAGCAGCTATTGAGTCCTGTCTGAATTAGCTGTTATGCTGCCGAATATATAAGAGACTGGTGGATACAGATGTTATAAAAGCAGGCAGGTTACCAGACAAATCGTAAATCAGCAGTGCTTGAAATTAGTAGAGAGTCTTAATCATAGAATAAAATTGAATGCCAGTATTCAGCAAAGCTGGAAATGAGGGATGCTCTCATGTGGTACAGAAAGTTTGTGATCTGTTCACTGGTCTCAAAAAAGAGATTAGCACATAAGGTGTGTGGGTGGTTCCACTGAAATGTGGATGGCTCAGACCAGGCTGAGGAAAGGGGCAGCATATTTTAATCCCTTTCGGCAGGCAGGCTTTTGGAATCCAAATATAGTTGTATGAGGTTGTGCCCGGGGTGGCAAGTGCTTACAGCAAGGCTTTCATCTCCCATCTAGATCTCTTGTGTTTTCTAGCCTGTTGATTACGTTACCAATAGGAAATAATTATTAAAAGGTTCCGTGCTTATGCCTGAAAACTTGTGTTTGTTGTCCTCTGTGTAGATAGGCATTTGTAGGTATGTGTTGGGAAACAGGTATGTTTTCTTAATTGGGACCAAGTGGCAAATAAAAGCCTGGATCTTGGGTTATAGGAAAAGACCCATGTTTTGTTCAGTTTTGAGTACCTTCAAATCCCCTGTAAAGGAAAAAAATATATTAGGTCAATGGGAGACTGTAATTTTGTGGTAATTACAGGATCAACGTGTAAAATGCCCTTAGGAGATACTGGTTGAGTAGCCTGCTGAATAGGGATTACAAGCATGGGGAACAGAGGACAGCGGAATGCCGACTATAACAAGAAAATTTGCAAGCTTTATGAATCCTGATCTTTAGGAAAACCCAAGTAGCAGCAGTCCTACTCCTAAGCGAAAGCACTGTAGCTCAAATTTATCAGTGTCGTAGGTACAGTTTCACATGCAGGTCTGTGTCACCGATGGCTGTTGCTGAAAGGAGCTATTTCCATCCTCCAACTTAAAGTTACAAACTTCTCCATTCACCCTTGCACTGGATTAGCAGTTGTGCTGTTGGCAAGTTACCTGGCTCAGCAAGCTGATCCCACAGTAAAGTGCACAGAGTTGTTTTGGCCGGGTAAGTTTTGAACCAGTTCACTCTGCAGCCACCTGCACAGTCTGCCAAAAAAATGAAGGCACAAGGACCTAGTGGCTGGTGAGCTCAGACTGTTGAAGTCTGGAGATGAATACCCAGGCAGAGCATGGAAACAGCCCAGCTCTGTCCAAGTGTCAGTCCATGCTGGCTGACAGAAACACTGAATGATGGTTGCGGTGCAAAACACATTTATTTATTTATTTTAACCTAAAGCAGGAAAAATATGGAAAAGTTTCCTTTCATCTAACAAAGGCTTGAATCGAGGCTTCTGGTTCCCTTGGCAACAGCATTAAACAGGCAGAATAAATAAAAGCAACGATTTCCTCTATCAGAAGCTCGCTTCTGAGGCAACCGGGTTCAACGGCATTTAAAAGCAAACAGCTTTCTGTCCAAGTTACAATTTTCCTCCTCCTATTCCTCAGATTCAGACATTATTTTGGAGCTGTGGAGAGGCATCATGTGGGCCTATGGTGCTCCCAGAGACTACATGTCATAGCTTTTGAAAAAGTTATCTTGCATGGAAGACACCTGAAAATGAGATTTTCGGTATTTGCATTTCACTTTTTTTTGTGTTTTCATTTTTCCTTTATAACATTTCCTTTCCACAAAATACAACCTTCTGTGCCATTTTCCTTTCTCCATGCACTGATGCAAAGGCAGAAGCCGGTGAGCACACTGTTACTGTTATCTGTTGAAAAAATCCTTGCACCTTCCTTGGGATCCTCCTTTCTTCCCAGCTCTGCTAAAGAAGCAGTCCTTGCTGTCTTCTGCAAAAACTCTGGAACTTGAAGGCAGCACTTGCAAGCAGGAGAAGGGCCCTTGAGCTTCATGCAAAAGATTGTTTTCCTTATGCAGTCCAGTAATTCTCTCTACTTAAATCAGTAAGTCTGTTTTTTTCAGAGAAGAGTCAACAGGTATAATGGGGCTGACGGAAGTGTCATCTAGAAGCAGGATTAAATGTAAATTGTTCTAAATTTTAGAAAACATAAGAAAAAATGCTGGTATCTCTTCTATAGGAGAGTATTTTTGTCTGTTACTGTAAAAGAAATCTGAATGCCAAATGTGATGCACAGAGTGTTTTAGGACAAAGATGTATGGAAAAGCTGCACTGCATGAGTCTTGCTCAGAGTTGCGATATCTTGAACATGTATCTTCAGGAACGAAAAGGGAACATTACTGCTGCTGTCAGAGGATAAGAGTGTTAATAATGACTCAGTGACCCAGGTCATTCCCTGGTTCTTTGAAAGCTTTGAAAAGATGAGATGCTCATCCTCTACAGTGCTGCCATTTTGCTTGCTGAAGCGTGCAGGCTTAGCACAGCTGGCTGGCTGCCCTGCTGAGAGTGAGGTCTGAGGCTTCATTGGGATTGATGCACCTATTTATGCTATAGATAGGGGAGTTAGATAGGGAAGTGTCCATCCTTTCTTCTTCACAGGTGCTCAGAGAAAGAGGTAACTTTGCCTTACAAAAACTAAGATGATAGATGTGTTTATATTTTTTTTTAAAGGTGTACTCTTTAAGCTGCTTGGTTATTCAGGGGAATTTATTATTCTGCTAAAGATGGGCTTCTCTAGGTTGTGGGAAGGAAATCAAAAGAAGTGCAGTAGTGAACTGTTTACAAAGAACGTATAAAAGTCCTGTATCATTCTTTCACTATTTTTTCCCTATTTCACAGAATGATTCAATCCCTCAAGATGACTTCACACCAGATGTGTACAGGGTGTTTTTAAACAACCTCTGCCCTCGGCCCGAGATCGACCACATCTTTTCTGAGTTGTAAGGAAAGACACTAATTTATTATTTTTTTTTTCCCTTCACTGATTTTCTGGGCTGGGGATGGCAAAGTAGGTTATTTAGACTACAGCAGCACACAGCGATTGCCAAGAACAGATTTCAATGTCAAGCAGGGCTGTTTTTTAACCTTGGGTCAAGGGTTCTTTCTCTCCCAAGCTTTTGCCTCCATTTCTAATGGCTGGGATATTAAAGCAATTTGTTTCTAGAGGAGCAAAACTTACGAGTCTTGATTTTCTGTATGGATTAGGATAGTTTAGCTTCTATGAAAGCAAATGAAGAAGTGCAATAGGCATGCAATAAGCATGAGAATATGTATAATCACCCCCAAAAGCTTAATTAGGAGTTGCAAAAAAAGTAGTAACTTTTAGGATTTGTATATCATGAATTCATACCATGAAATTAAGTTAGCAGCCAGCTACAACTGATTTCATACGTTCAGTTACAAGCTGTATAACTCGTGTTGCTTCTAGCCCTTGCAGCAAGTTATTGTACTTCCCAGTTTCAGTAGACCCTGATCAATGGAGTCAGAACTTGAAGCAATATGAAAGCAGAGTAGTTTCCAAAATACATCCCAAGACCACCAAAGCAATTAGCAAATGTATCTTTGCAACATGAGTGTGCTCACATACTCCTTTTGTGCTTATTTTCTCAAAGGTTGAAGTTTCAGAGGAGCGCAGCTGTGGCCTAGTTTGCTCCCATTGAATCTGGGGGTAGACGTTCCATTGCTCTCGTGCAGAGTAGAAGCAGGCCAGTCCTGAGCGCTGTAGACAACTCTAGGCACATCACCTGGCTTGGAGGCTTCCTGGATCTCCATCTGAGTACAAATTGTACCCAAACTCGGCTCTTTTTACTGACTCTTTACATAGGCATCTTTTCACTTGCTTCACAGAGTGCCTAGCAATTTTTAGCAGGTTTATAAAAAAAAAACAAAGCACCACACACAAGGAAATACTAGAATAATGAAATCAGGGCTGCTTTTATTCAGCAGTAAAACCAAGTAGTTGAGCCAGGAATGCCGGTGGAGTGTGTGTGGCAAGCCCAGCAGTGGAGTGTTTGTGGCAAGCTCAGGATTGAATTCCATGTCGTTTTCTCTTTTACTTTTTAAAATTGCTTAGTTTCAGGAATTCAAAGGAATAAAAAACTTTTAGCATTGCTCTAACTTTTCCCATTGATGTGAATAATGCTGAATGCTTTTAAACATCTTACTCCTAAATGTTTGATGAATGTTTGTTGTTACATGCTGGCAAAGTAAATTAGTCCACAGACACAGTGGGAGAATGTTTTTGTTGTACAGTAGTTTGAATCTTGTTTCAGTTTCCCTGTTAAATTGCAGAACATTGAACGAGATGACAAGGAAACGTGTATTAATGGCTTTGGTGTTGCTTTATTTTTTTTCTCTAGTGGTGCCAAGAGCAAACCATACCTTACTGTTGATCAGATGATGGAATTTATAAATTTTAAGCAACGTGATCCACGATTAAATGAAATCCTTTATCCACCTTTAAAACAAGAACAGGTTCAACAGCTGATTGAGAAGTATGAACCCAACAGTAACCTAGCAAAGAAAGGTCCGTGGTTTTTATATTCTCACTGTGCTTGCTTTCTGGTTTGAAACAATGACTCAATTATCCTACAGTGCATGCTAAAGCAAAAGTTGGTTCAGAATCAAATTGCATTTCCAACTATCTGCTTTTGGATCATACAAGCCTGTGAGACATCATGTCATTCATTTTTAAATGTATTTGGTTGGGATGAATTTAGGAAGGATGAGGCTGGTTTCAGTATTTAGTTTTCAGGATGTGTAATTGATAATTTAGAAGAGTTGCTCTGATATGCAAACTTCAGCAAAAACCTTACTATCATGATGACTATTTACTGGTATCTGAAATGTAAAATTTAAAGAAAAAAATCAGTCACAATGAAACAAAGATTATGATAATTCTATCATTTAGTAATAGTATAGTAAGTCCAGGCCTCTGCTTTCTGTTAAAGTGGTACACAAAGTATGATGTGAGAGTAGCTGAGTGTGTTTCATGCTATAATCATATAAAAGTCCCTTTTGAAAATCTTTAGTGTTGTCAGGGCTTAACTGGGCATTTCACCAAAACCAGTGAAACTCCTTGCTTAAATTTCTGCAGATTTTTACTACCACCACAAGTCTTAAAATAGCACTGAATTTGTGTTTGCATCCTGTTTTATTCCAATCCACGTATCCTAATGGTTATCTCAGCTTTTAATGTGCTTATACCTTAGAAATTTTAGGGGCATGGGAATATCCTGAAAAACAGATCTAACATGAAAAAAACTGTTTCGGTCTGAAGATTTCAGATCCAGAGGAAACACAAAGCCATCTTTCCCAAGAGTGTAGGGGTTAACTGAAGGCACTCCTGCCCCTCTCCCTTGAAGCCTGCAGATCTAGATGCCTTCCTGAAGGAAACCTGTAGCTCTCAATGATGTGCCTTCCTGAAGGAAACCTGTAGCTCTCAATGATGTGATCAATGTTGTGTCAATGCAAAACATTTTCAGTTTTTCTCATAAGGCTTCTTATTTTTCTAGTCCAATCAAATTTAGTGTTTCCAGAGGTTTTGATGGACGGTTAAATCTTGCTTCGTCATGCTTGTGCAAACTGTCTTTTGATGTGAGAATACTGACTAGCATGAGTAGATGAAAACACATTGTGACCTCCTCTCTCATCCATGCACATATTAGGGTATTGCTCTGGGCTTACCGTATTTCACATCAGCTACAAGAAAGTCTGGTGCCTAAAAGATCATTGTTATTACCTAGATATTGGCACTTCATGTCAACCAAATAAAGGATTTATTAGAAGGAGGTGTGCTAGCGTGCTAGCAGAACACCAAGTCAAAATGAAATCACCTTCTGAGTAGCAATAAGGAGGAAGCATGAAACAAACCTCAGAAAGAAAGGTGTTGTGATGGTATTTGATTTGCTGGCACTCTCCAAGTAGGATTTGTGGGACACCTCCAGCTTAATCTAATTTACGTTGATGCACACATTTGCTGCAGACACTTGCTCTTCTATAGGTGCGTGTCTTCCTAGGTATGATTTATATTGTTCTTACAGAATCAGTTCTCACAGAAAATGCTGACTTTAAGACAGGAAAGATAGGTTATAGAGACTTAATTCCTTTTCTGTTTGGGGTGGGGTTTTTTTTTGTTTGTTTGTTTGTTTGGTTTTTTGTCTTGTGCAGTGATGTCCAGCAAACTCTGACAAATCTAGCACAACATGCAGGCCACCTCCATGCTGCAAACACCATCTCTTACACAGCACCCTGTCTGGTGGCTGAGCTGCGGTAACTGACCCATTGTGCTAATCATGCCCCAGTGCAAATCCTGAGCATACTGGCTTACAGTTACAGGAATTGGCTAATCAGGAATGACGAGAGGACACAATATTTTCAGTACATCTGCTCAGAGTTGGGAATGTAATTCACTGTATATTAAATGAAGTGTAGGTGTGCGTTCAATCCTTCACTCATAGAATAATTGCAAACAAATGCTGCATGTCTGTAAAATGTCCCCAAATTTTAACAGTGCATATTCAAAATAATGATTTAACCTTTTAATATGGTGTTTTGTAAAAGCAGTTGTCACTCAGGACTGTTCATGGGCTGAATTGCAGGGATGGCAGACCAAAGTGCTTCAGTGACACTTTCCCTGCCGCTGAAATGATGATACTCACTTGGGCCACTGAGTGGAGATGTTATTTTCAGTAGACCTGTGGATGTTCAAACCACAATTAGATGTGGTCCGCTGTTGTACACCCATGAACTTGTTGGCCTGAACTTGCCCCTTCTGCTGTTCAGATATTCTGCTACATTTCTTGTGGTGGCTTTGCTTATGTCACCTTATTTGCTGGGGCCAACGTCAGTTGAGAGGTAGGGTTGGAAGTAGGATATTTGGAATGGCTCCAGTGCTGTTGGTAAGAGCAGGTAGAAACCCTAGGGCACCCAGGCCAGCAGCCAAAATAGGTAAGAAGGTAGCAGAAGCCTTTCTCCAGCATAGTTCTCAAAGAAAAGGGGGGCCCAACAGCTCTGTGAAGAGAAATGGGCTTAGGGTCCTTGTCCACATGTTCCTTTATGCTCCTGTGTCTTAAAGGGAGCTGGAAGAGGTCCCACCCAGACAACTCCTCGGGATTAACGGGTACACCAATAAACAGAAGAGCAGAGAGGAGAGTAGTCTAACAAGGTATATGAAGCAGAGATAATGATATGAAAGAATTGCATTATAAACAGCAGGATGGGAAATGGAGTTACAGCTGGCCTAAGGATGACTTCATTGCTCTGGTACAACAGCAATTCAATTAAATAATTGGACTTTTGGAGCAGTTTTGCAGAATTTTGGTTCAAGAAACAAGCCAGAAGATCTCACAGCATGGTATATGTATTTGTTCTTTCTTGGCAATGGGAAGTTACACCTTTGAAGTAAATCACCGCTACAGGTCCAGAACAGAAGAAGATACCATAAAGAAATGTAAAAGTTGTGATCAACTGCTTGTTACAAGTACTGAGTGATTTGAAGTACTCTGTGGTGGTAGAGACTTTAAAGGCTTGTTTGCAAGAATTAGGTGATAAAATTGCCAGCCTTCATGCCAGTTAAATTACTTTCCTCAGGTTGTTCTAGAGTTCGAACATTTGCAGCTGCTCAGTGTGTGTGCGTTTGTGTGCACACGCCTGCATACAGGTATGTTGTTTTCTTCCCATGAGCTGCCTTTCTGAAGTTTCAGCTCCTTCATTATCTTGTTTCGTTATTGTAACATCAGATTGCACAGAGGTTAGGGACAAACGTACACATAAATGATGAAGATCTGTCTGCTTCTTTCGTGTTTGTCTCTGTAGTATTTCTACGTTTCTATATTAATCTATCTGATGTTCAGATGTCCCACTGAAATAAAGGGATTCATGTTCAACATCCTCATGAAATAAGCCAAACTCTTCTGTTTCATTTGAACTTTAAAGCCTGCTTAAACTGCCAGAGAAAATGACTTTTACAAAGCCTGAGACAAAATTAGTAGCAAATGTTCTTATTTTTCAGTATTGTATGAGGCCATAAGACCTCAATTTCTAATCATCTCTCACAAAGAGAAAATATGTATTGTTTTTCTTTTTTTCCTGTGCGCAGCAGCACATGTCAACATGCAAACTTAAACAGAATACTTGCAATTCACAAGGAGTAAAAACATATATATGCTGTGGGAGTAAGATTTCATGTTTGCAATATGCATAATGTCCTGGCCTCAATGTAGTAAATCACTTAAGCATATGCTTTGCTTAACTTTATAGGTGGTGTTGGAAAGAGGATAGTTACGTAAAAATCTCTTAGGCTCAGTTTCCTTCAATAGCACATTAATTCTCTATTGAAGCTCAATTCCAATGATTACCTATTTCCCCAACGTTGTTGAAGTGAAATTTCTTAGCAAATAAAATTTTATGCATTGAAAAGTTCCTTAAAATAGAATTAGGGATTTTTCCTTGCAAACTTTATTCCAATTAGAAACTCTGTGCCTTTGTACAGCAGCCTGATTCCTTGCTCCCACTGCTCTGTTTGGACAGTTCTAGACCTTCACTCATCTGACTGTATCTTCTTCTGATTTCCTTTCTTAACTGTATACATGATCTGTTCACATCCACTGTACAGCAATATTCTCTTTTAATTATTCTTCTCTCATAGCCAATTAAATGAATTTCTAAAGAATGGTTGTACTGCCTCTCAACTTTCACAGCACTAGTGAAATGTTTTTGACATCTCATAATTCTCCATTTCTCTGATTGCCATTATAGCCCTTTTTCTGCACCTGCTGCAGCTGAATCGCAGAATTTTGAACACAATAAGCGAGAACTGTACATGCTATTTTAAACTTTTTCAACATGGCCCTTCAGGTACATGTTAAAATCAAATCATAGAATCATAGAATGGTTTGCATTGGAAGGGACCTTAAAGATCATCTAGCTCCAACCCCTGAGCAGTGCCTTAGGTTGTAGAGTTTTGAGTAAAAAGGCTGCCTATGTTCCTACTCATCACTAATGTGTTTGTAGGTATTGTATTGCTGGGATGGCACTGAGCTTTTGCAACATCAGCAGATATATGGGCTTGACATCTACATAAGTTAAGCATCCGGAGTAGTATTTTATTGTGGTTGAAGCAAGCTGTTGTGATTAATGCTTTGTGTCATACAGTGAAGGAGATTAATGTGCTGTGTATAGCATGTTTCCTTATCAGGTACAAGCAGAAGGAAGTCCTGGTACTGCTGAGCAGTCTTTCGCTGTCAGCAAAACCATGCTGGGGGACTGTTAGGGCTGGTTAAGTAACATCTTGTAGTTTGGTCTTTTCAGGCTGTAAAGCATTTGCATTGGGTTGCTGGCATAACTGTTAAAATGTATTTGCTTTCAAGTTACCAGGTTGATAATGGGATGTATATTAATAAATCAGTTGCCAAGCGGTTGATTGGGAATTTCCTTATTTGCTTTTATTTCTAAGAAGGCTTGTATAAAAGTAAGTTGTTTGGAATCTTGTTACGTTGTGGATGGGAGATAGGACATCAGTGCTGA